CGATGATCTGGGCTGTACTTTTCATCTTGGTTTCAATTCCAACTCATTCTCCTGGCTGTATCTCCCAGCGCCGGAGCCCCAGGGCCCATGCTAATTTGCTTCTCCCACCTCAACTGGTGCTGGAATAACCATTTTAAAAACTGCCTTGGGGAAATCTAATCAAATGAGAGCAAAATCTAATTTGGCACTAAAAGCCTCTGACTGAAGCCCTGTTTTCTAGGGCCTTGTGGAGGCTGAATAATAAACTCTTTCTGAGTTTTTTAAGGGCTGGGGGTTGGAGAGAGGAAAGGGATGTGACAGCGGAGATTCTAGCAGAGGAAATAGCTCGGGACTCTGACATCCGCGGCATCGAACAATAATGGCAGGGTGGGCTTCCCAAGGCAGGGGAGGGACACACACACACACACACACACACACACAGAGTCCCCCCAAGAAATACTTATCCCACCAGCTGGGCCAAGAATTTAAGCTCTTTAGCATTCCAAGCTGCACATTCATCAGAAAGACCTTGGCCCAGATCTTCAGGGACAAACCCATAGGATCGCTAGCTGGGGACTCCGGAGACCTGGGAGAGAACCTAGTTCCCCAGCGGGGAATTCAGTGAACCTTTTTCTCTAGGTTTTCACTCACTCTTCTGCAAACTGAGGGGGTGAAATTCTGTGCTTCTTAAACTTGTGGTCTTGGGTTCCTTTCAAAATGTGCCAAAAGCTGTGGCCCTTTTTCCAGGAATGTGCACATAAAATGCACAATCCTGTGTGTGGTATTTCAGGGATGTGTGCCCCTCTAAGGTTCCCCGTCGTGTTTCCTGTTGCTGTCCTCACTGTGGCCTCCAGGACCCTGTGTGATCTGGCCCCTCTTCCCTGTGATGTCGTCCCCTCACTGTCCTCTTGGGCTGCTCACATGCCCCCAATCTAGTTCCTGCCTCAGGACCTCTGCACCGTGCAGCTCTCTCTGCCTGGACCAGGATCCCTGTATTCCCTCCTGACTCAGTCTCACCATTCCTCAAAGAAGCCTCCCTGACCCCTCGGCCCAGTGGTGCCATGTCTTGTTGTTCTTTCATGTCGTTCCCCCTTATTTCTTCATCACTGTTATTGCCACCGACCTCATCCTCACTTGTCATAGTCCCCCACCAGAATGTCAGCCCCCCAAGGGCGGGGATCCTGGTGGTCTTGTTCACTGCTGTGTGTGCAATGCCTAGGACAGCCCCTAGCATACCATAGGGTTTAATAAATAGTTGTTGAATGGACAGATGAATCCATACACGCCCTAGGGCAGTGTTACCCCAAATTCGGCAGTTTCATGTGCCGCCATATTTTTTACCATGCCTGAGTACACTGATTCTATTATTTACTGAACGTTTTTCCCTAAATTGTTTCGCTCTTGATTTCAGTAAACATACATCACCACCAGTATAATCTGTCATGAACAGAAAGTGTTGGAGCTCTATGAGGGGGCATTAAATTTCATGCTCTTCTTTGTTGAGGTCTAAACCAGCTGAGAAATAAAAACTAAGGAGTCCATAGATGGAAGCTAACATAGCACTTTGATGAATCTGATAAAGGCTAGATTTGAGGGCAGTGCTTTTTTCTGAGGGCACTCGGGCTTCCTGACTAAGCTCCAGAGTCAGACTTCCCACTGAAGCTGGCCCTCACCTCTCTCCTCCCCGCCCAGAGAGATCGAGCCTCCTTAAAACTAGCTCTCTAGGGCAGCTCATGCCCCAAAGGAAAAACAAGGGGAGTATTGGGTTTTCCATGCCCAATTTGCCTCTCCAACCCCACCAGTCGTCTATGCTAGGAGTTGGCAAAGTGCGGCCCACAACCAAATTTGGCCCTCCATCTGTTTTTGTAAATAAAGTTTTATTGATACAGAGTCACACTCGTTTGTTTATGTGTTGTCTTAACTGTTTTCTACAAAGACAGAGTTGAGTAGTTGCCACAGAGACCTTCTGGCCCTTCATCGGAAGGGTTTGCTGACCCCTGCTGAATGTCATTCTGCTTCATGGAGGAGGAACAGGAGGGAGTGGAGAGAGGCCAGGAGTGTACGGGGGCAGAGCTCCCTACATGGAGGGCGGCGGCAGAGGTGGGGAGTAGGGTCATTGGGGTTTAGTAAATCTTGTTTCCTGAGCTATACTTGATCTCTTTTCAGCTCTCACAGTGTGGTTCAAAAGAACCAGGAGGAGGCTGCCAGAGGGCCAGATGATGGATGGAGTTATTTAAATAAGATCAGGGTTTTTCAGCTTTGGCACTGCTGACATTTTGTTCTGGATCATTCTGTGTAGTGTGAGAGCTGCCCTGTGCATTGAAGGGTATTTAGCAACATCCCTGGTCTCCACACACTAGATGCCAGTAGCACTCCAAGTTGTGACAAAACCAAAAATGTCTCGAGACATTACCATGTGTCTCCTGGGGGCCAAAGTCTCCCCTGGCCAAGAGCCACTGCTTCAAGGGCCTGGAGCAGCTGGGCATGTTGAAGGTGCCACACATTCTAGAGAAAGAGAAACACAGGCCACCCGCTTGCCTGGCACTCCAGTGCTGCCTCCTCCTCCAGCCTGTGTCTCAGATGCTCCCGACACCCAGCCAGGGACACTCAGTCGCTGTCTAATTAGGCACCCACCACCTAATTACATTTTCACTCTTTAAATACTGGATGTGACTCAGGACTCAGAGATGTGCCGCCGGTTCCCCCACCACCTCCTCCCCGGAACGCCGGGGTCCTCCTGTTCATTTTTGCTCCGTCCTCCCACCCTGGGCCTGAGGCGGCTGGGGAGCCTCCTTTTATTTCCGCCTCCCCTTCGTGCCCAGATCCTTCCAGGAGGTGTGTCCCCAGTCCCTCCCTCTGTAGCTCATTTCCTGGCCCCCTGGCAGGCGAGGCAGTCCATGGAGGTGTTTCCCTTTGCCTTGTAACTGGGGGTACCTTGGGGATTTGGGCATCCAGCTGCTGGGGTTCCTAAGGGGTCTTCCTGCTCCTGGGCAGCATCAGCCATCTGTCGCGTCTCCAGGAAGGCCCCTGTAGAGGGATCTAGCACCATCACAGCCTCTCCTGGCCCGGGTGCCCCTTCTCTGGGCCAGCGCTGTCCCAGGTGGAGGGGCCCATCTTACCCTCCGTGGGCGGGCGTCAGAGCCCTGCCCCAGCCCCTCTCCTCCCTCTGTGGACGTGCAGCTCCCCATCTCTTTCTCCCCATCGTGGGTTCTGAGCTGACACCCACGGAGCACACTGTGCACAAGGCACAGCCGGGCCCTTTGCTCACAAGATCTCCCTACATCCCTGCAGCCACCTTGAACACTTGGATTCTTGTGCTCTCAACAATGGTCGTGGAGGGTCTTGGAGCCCCGTGTCCTCATCTAGAAAGCAAGGGCTGCAGTAGGACCTCTGTTTCCGGAGAAAGTCTCACTAATTTTCCCGTTTCTTAAAAATGGCTTTATAGGTTATAATTCTTAAAAATTGTACATGCTCACTGGGGGTAAAAAGACAGAAAGGGATCATGAAGAAGATCTTGTCTGTGTCCTCATCTCAGAATTGTGGTATGTCCCCTTCCAGATGAATTAGGGATTTTTTTTTTTAAGATGACCAGTAAGGGGATCTTAACCCTTGACTTGGTGTTGTCAGCACCACACTCTCCCAAGAGAGCCATGGGCCATCCCAAGGGTGATTTTTTCTAAAGCAAGCTTTGTTATTGATGTAAAGCATGCTCATGGAAAAGTGCACCACTCCCAAATGTCCAGGTCAGTGAGCTTCCGCCAAATGAACAACCCATGTTCCAGCAAGAACTACAGCAAGACTATCACCCAAGAAGCTCCTCCCTGTGTGAAGGATCATCACTTTTCATTTCCAACCCCCTGTTAGTTTTGCCAATTTTTGAATGTCATATAAATGGGATCAAACAGCATGTTTTATTTTCTATCGGGTTTATTTCTCTTAATATTATTGCATTGTTGAGATGCATCCACATTCTCAAATGTAGCACTCGGTCCTTCAATCTCATTTCTAGGTGATTTTCCATTATACAAATTGCAACAACTTCATTTTGTGAGCATATCCTGTACATGACTTGTGGTGAATGTCTGACACTGCTTGTGTGTTGGGTGAATACCCAAGATTCAAGTCAGGAGATCTAAATGTGTTCAGAGCTTTCTCCAGTGGTTGTACCAGTCGGCCCACCCCCCAGCAGTTCTGGAGCATTCCAGTTGCTCCCCATCCCCACCAACACCTGGCATTGTCAGTTTTTTTCACGTTAGCCATTCTGGTAGAATTTAAGGGCTCCTTGGGCCGGCCCGGTGGCGCACTGGATAGTGCGCCGCTTGGGAAGCGCGGCGGCGCTCCCGTCCGAGGGTTCGGATCCCACATACAGACCGGCTCCCGCTCACTGGCTGAGCGAGGTGTGGGAGCAACACCGAGGCTTGCGATCCCATTGCTGGTCCCCGGTCTGGTACGGGGGCAACACTGAGGGTTGCGATCCGTTGCCGGACACGGAAAAAAGACAAAAGACAAAAAAAAAAAAAAAAAAAGAATTTAAGGGCTCCATAAACTTAAATGGGAAAAAATTATGCTCTTATTCACACTAATCTACATCTAAAACTCAGCATTTGTTTCTATAGGAATGTAAGCCACAGACCACAGCACGGCAGAATCTGTAACTCTGTCATCCATGGAAATCACCAATAGTTTGATGTCCCATGGCAGTTGCTGCAGTTATCACAAAATAAGACATTTTCACTCGTCACGTCTTTGAAATGATCACTTTCTGCAAGTCTTGATTTTAATATGTTAATTTTTTAAAGGACACATTATTATATCGCAAATTCTTTCAGTATTTTGATAACCGTATTTCAAAGTAGTTGATTTTCTCCATAATCCTATATATCTTACCTCACACGTGTGGAAATGTTTGAAAAGGGCTCCATGACATGGGGGCTTTGTTTTCAGGCCTGCGGCACACAGTGGTTTAATAGACAGTGTTGGGTGCTTTCTCACGCGGCCTCCTGATCCTTCTCCCCCTCCAGCTTTCTTCGGGAAGTATCTTAATGAGTACAATGGCTCCTATGTGCCGCCTGGCTGGAAGGAGTGGGTCGGACTCCTCAAAAACTCCCGCTTTTATAACTACACGCTGTGCCGCAACGGAGTGAAGGAGAAGCACGGCTCCGACTACTCCAGGGTAAGCTGCGGCCTCTCCTGGCCTGGGAGGGGTGGCGGGGCCAGCACTCAGGAGCTCCCCTCAGGAGCTGGACCACCTGGGTTCCGGGCTTGACTCATACTTACTTAAATGTGTGACCTTGAGCAGTTCATTTACACCCCCTGCTTCTCAGTTTTTCCACCTCTCAAAGAGCAGTCTCTGTTTCTGAGAGTTTGGTTTTTTAACATTTTGCTGAAGCAGAATATTCTTACAAGAAGCACATATACAGAGTGTACAGTTCGATGGATTTTCACACCAGCACCCAGGTAAGCCAAGAAGCGGAATGTCATCACCACCCCTAGAAATCCCCTCAGGGAACTCCTTCCACTAAACAGTCCTCCCACAAGGATAACCATTATTCAGACTTCTTGCACTATAGATTAGCTCTGCAGCTGGCTTCTTTTGCTTGACATTATGCTGAGTTCATTCTTGTTTCGCATTCCATTATGCGCTTATACACAGTTAATTAATCCATTCTGCTGTCACTGGGCACTTTGGTATTTCTGGTTTGGGGCTATTACAAACAGTCCTGCTAAGAACAGTCTATTCTTTTGGTCTTTTGCTGAGCTAGATAGTCTTTCGGTGAACATAGGGACTCATTTTTGTTATATACATCCCTAAACGCAGAACTGCTGGGCATCAGCGTGTGCATGTTCAGGGACAGCTGAAGTGGCTGTCCCGCTGTGTAGTTTTTCTCTTTCTAATTTAACTGTAACTGACAGAAGGTAAAGTGCACAGACCGTAAGCCAACAGCGGTATGCATTTTCACACATGTGTACATCTGGTTAACCACCACCCAGACCGACATACAGCTTTTCCAGCCCTCTGAGGCTCCCTTGGACCCCCTTGGCAGGCACAACCCCCACCCAGAGATAACCTCTGCTCTGACTCTGTCAGCATGGGTTGTTTTCACCTGTTCTAGAACTTGACATAAATGGGCTCCTATAGTATGTGCTCTTTCATGTCTGGCTTTTTTCACTTAGGTGACATCTATGAGACTCATCCACGCTGTGGCACGTAGCAGCAGCTTCTACTTTCTGTCTCTTGTTGTATAAAAAGATGACAAGATATTTATCCATTCAATGAATAAATATCTTGATGAATATTTTGGCTGTCTCCAGTTAGAGTCAACTATAAATTAAGCTGCTGTGAACATCCTTATACGTGGTTTTTAGTGCACATAGGCACCCATTTCTTTTTATTATATACCCGATGTAGAATTGCTGGGACACAGGATACGTTAATGCGTTGAGCCAATTCCACTCCCAGCCAGAAGTGTACAAGGGTTCCAGTTGTTCCACATTCCTCATCAACGCTTACTGTTGTCTTTTATCAGAGACTTTTTGCTGGGGGTGCAGTGGTACTTCACTGGGGGTTTGCCAAAAGGTTGTTGATGGTCACTTGAGTTAATACATGTAGAATGTTAGAAGAGCCCCCATGCACATAATACGTACTCAATACATATTAGCTTAGATCAGGGCAGCAAACAGTTTCTGTAACGGGCCAGATACTAAATATTTTAGGTTTTATAGGCCATACAGTCTCTGTCACAGCCACTCCAGTCTGCCACTGTAGTATGAAAGCAGCCATAGACAGGGCCAGCCCATGGCTCACTGGGTGAGCGTGGTGCTGACAACACCAAGTCAAGGGTTAAGATCCCCTTACTGGTCATCTTTTAAAAAAAAAGAAAGAAAGAAAGAAAGCAGCCATAGATAATACAAGGGTACTTTGAAAGGTTCATGGAAAGATTCATGTTATCTTCCAATTCTATTTTTCCATGAACTTTTTGAAGTACCCTTATATAAACACATAAACATGGCTATGTTCCAGTGAAATTTTATTTATAAAAACAGGCAGTGGGCCTGACTTGGCCCATCAGCTGCAGTTTGCTGGCCCCTGGCTTAGATGATGATGGTGATGGTGATAATGAGGAGGAAGAGGAGAAACTGACAGTATGTTCCATCCAAACTTTCCATTTAAAAAAAAATATGGAAACTAATTGTATTAGTTCATTTTCTGTTGCTAATAACAGAATACCTGAAACTGGGTAATTTGTAAGAAAACAAAATTTATTTCTTACAGTTTTGGAGGCTTGGAAGTCCAAGCTCTAGGGGTGCATCTGGTGAGGGCCTCCTTGGTGGTGGGAACTCTCTGCAGAGTCCTGTGGTGGTGCAGGGTATTACACGGTGAGGGCTGAGCAAGAACATGTTTCCCGAGCCAGAGGCGGGGGTAGCAGGAGCCCTACCCAGAGCATTGGCTGAGAACAGAGTCCTAAATGAAGATGGAGACTTTCTACCAGGAGAAGTCTGACTAGATGCTCAACAGGCAAAACACACCCTATCTGGCTCCTTTTCTAGAAACACTAGCAAATTTGGAGGTCCCTCCTACCTTTGACAGTAATCGCGACTGACGTATAGGCTTCCTGTAGGCACGTCGGGTGGGCCCAGTCCCAGGAGGCACCCACCCCATCCCCCACCTGTGTCTCACTCTGCACATAGTAGGCCTCCATTACCTCCCAAGTAAATTAATTACAGAGTCCCGGTGAGGGAATTTAGCAACCCTGCTGGACTCATTAGAAATATAAATTACAGACTCAGGGCTGAACATGCTGTTTCACTCCTCCCAACCTCAATGCAACCTCAGTTTTCATCTTGAAAACTACACTCCCTCCTTTTTAAAATTCCTCACCATTGGGCTGACCCCGTGGCTCACTCGGGAGAGTGCAGCGCTGGGAGCGCAGTAGCGCTCCCGCCGCGGGTTCGGATCCTATATAGGGATGGCCGGTGCGCTCACTGGCAGAGCACGGTGCGGATGACACCAAGCCAAGGGTTGCGATTCCCTTGCCAGTCACAAAAAAGAAAAAAAGAAATAAAAATATAAAAAAATAAAATTCCTCACCACGTCCACACTTTGCCTTCAGAGCAGCCCAATAATCAGGTTATCCAGGGATTCTCAGGATCCTCTTGGGGCTGAGGATGGGGACATAGAACGTCTGCTCCTTTGTCCGATTTCCTGCCACACACACACCTTCCCCAGTGAATGAGAAGAGCCCCCGGGACAGAGGTGCGAGGAAGGATTCCTGGGCCCTAGTTACGGGGCCTGGGAAGAGGCATTGGAACGGGGATGGGGATGGGGAGCTTTGGAGTCAGAACTGGCTCAAGTTCCAATTCCGAGGGCAGCAGTGGGCAGCGAGGCCAATGCACCCGAGGGAACAGGATTGAGCTTGGGGTTTCCAGATGCCTCTGGCAGAGCAGAACATCATTGCTGACCTCAAGGAGGCCCAGGTGGGGAGGAAGTGGCAGCCCTTCCCAAGCTCCCCCCAGCAGGCTCACTGAGGACGCTGTCCCAAGTCACCAATTCCAAATGCGGGCAGAGGCCACAAAGGGGTCCTGCTGGCAGGGGTGGAAAGAGAGGCAGCAGCGATGAGAAAAGAGTGATGTAGAACAAGCGCTAATGGCCGAAGAGAGTTGGAGAAGGTAGGACAGTGTTAGCGCGAGGGGAAACAGGACTGACCTTGAGTTGAATCATCTAAAGAAACTTCTAGGTAGCTGGTAGAAGACGGCTCAGATGTGGAGGCTCCAAGGAAATCATGGTAAGTCACAGCCGGTCCGGGGGTTGACCTGGCAGATCTATGAACTTGACCCCTTTACCCAGCACGTCACTTCTGCCTGTCTCTCTGGAGAAGCCGTATGCAGGAGATGGCATGCTGAGCAGTTGTTAGCAAGAAATCCACAGATTCCACCAATGCAGGAAATGACTAAATGACCATGAAGTGTCCCTACCCTGAAGGACCCTGGAAAAAAGCCCAGGGGCATCTGTGTGAAAAGCCATCAGAAGGGCTGAGGACAAGGCTGAATGGAAAATGCAAGTTGCAGGACTCCTTTAGTCCTTACTCAAAGGTCACCTTGCTGCACCCTCCCAGGACCAGCCTGTATGAACAGCACCCACACACCCTCCTCACCGCACTGGTGACCATCTGCCACGTCACACCATGTGATATGACTGATTCATCCATTACCTACCTGTCTGCTCTCATTAAATACAAGTCCCAAGAAGGCAGGACTATTCATTTGCTTTGTTCACTGCTATATTTGTTGGATGAGTGAATGAATGATGCAATTAATGTAAAAAGATGCAGAAAGCATTACTATAATATACATGTCAGTAGGGGACAAAAGGGGCCAAGGTTGGGAGTGGGGGAAGGAGGGGTCATCAAAGGGGACTTCCGTGTTGTTTATGCTATTTCAGTTTTCACAAGGAAAATGCAGACGTGGTTTGTGAGGAATAATGACCAACACTCATTTAGACATTCTATGTACCAGATACTGTTTGAGTCATTCTACCATGCATTGCTCACCACAGCCTGTGAGGTAATATTTGTTACTATTCTCAACCAAGAGATAAGAAAACTGAGGCACTAAGAGGCGAAGTAACTTAACCAGACCACACAGCTAGTAAGTGGTGAAGTCAGGATTCGAACCCAGACCATCCACCTTCAAAGTCCATGCTCTATACTGCGCCTGTGGGCCCTGTGCAGCCTCCAAGTCTTCGAGGCACTAAGAGGCGAAGTAACTTAACCAGACCACACAGCTAGTAAGTGGTGAAGTCAGGAGTCGAACCCAGACCATCCACCTTCAAAGTCCATGCTCTATACTGCGCCTGTGGGCCCTGTGCAGCCTCCAAGTCTTCGTATAGCCCTTGAGCTAAGAATGGTTTTTACATTTTCAACCAGTTAAAAAAAATCAAGGGAAGAATAATTCTCATGTGTTATTCATACAATGGAATGTTATTCAGCCTTTAAAAAGAAGGAAATCCTATCATATGCAACAATGTGAATGTACCTTGAGGACATTATGCTAAATGAAATAAGTCAGGCACAGAAGGACAAATACTGCATGATTTCACTTATAGGAAGTATCTAGAGCAGTCAAACCCATAGGAGCAGAAAGGAGAATGGGCCCAGTGTAGGGTGAGACAGGAAG